GGGGACGAAAGGTGAAGGAAGCCTGGGTCCCCGCCCGGGAGGAGACCCTCGGAAGCTTGGCGGGGGAGCGGGAGAGTGGGTTCTGCTGAGGGAAGGAGGCCCGAGCTTCACCCGAGGGGCGCCTTAGAGGCCTCAGCCATTCAGTCCAGGGGAAAAGAGGCAGGTGCTGCTGCGAAGGCGTGGCGACACGGTGGGTAGTGGGAGCTGGGGACGAGGAAGAAGAGCTTCAGGGAAAGTGAGCAGGCCCCTGCTTTCCCTGAGGTGAGGGGGCAGTAGGAAGACGCCTCAGAGCCTCCTCAAGTAGGAATAGGAAGGGTCCAAATCTGTGAGGGTGTGAGATTGAGTACCTTCTGATATATAGGTAGAGAACGGGATGATCTGGTGTGTCAGGGGATGGGAAAACCCATGTTCTTGAGGGCCAGAGAAAAGATAGTTGAGGGGAAGAAGCTTAGAATACCCCTACTTTCAGAAATGACAGGGGAATTGGCCAGGTGTCTCCTGAGGGGCATGAACAATGACAGCAGAATCTTATCTGAGGGTCCTGGAGAGTGATCCACCTGACTTAGGCATGTCGAGCCTTGACGTACAAATCCGGGGAAGTCTTGACTATCCAAGGAAGTGGAGAAGGTCTGAATTCTCTTAAGATGAGAGAAATCTCAAAAGTACTTCCTGCCAGACACAGAAGGGGCCTTGTTTGATGTCTCTTTAGGAGAACCAAGAAATGGGATTCCTCCGTAACCTGGAGAATGAGGAAGAGGGAGAATCAGGTCATTCCAGACTCACTGAGAGGGATTCCTTTCTTCTCCCTTGCCTCTGCTAATGGTTACCAAAGTGCTTTTGGAAGACTTTTTCATTAAATGTTTGGACTGTCTTCCCTAATTATCAGCCTTGTATCAGTTATGGGTACTGACTTGATGACTTTTTCATTAGTCATTAGTCAACCATTTATTCATATTTACTTCAACGAACATATTAAATAGCTGATTTGTATTCAACTTCATGGGGTTAGCTTGGGCTCTGAATTGGTCTTGTCCTAAGCAGAAGTCTCCTAGACTCTAGTGTGATGATCCTTCAAAGAACACTTCTTATCTCATTGCTTCCCCAAGCACCTATATAGTAGTCTCCAATATGTGACTTATCCCAAATTTCATTTGTTATGGCTGTGTTCCTCACAGTGGTCCTGTATAGCCTTCTTGTTGGCTTTATTACATTTGATAGTGTCCTGTATCACTTACTGAATACATGAGAAGGAATGAAGAAGAAAAAAAATCAAGGAGTTTTGGCTTCAAGTAATAATAAAGTTTTAATTTGGAAATTTCTTAAGAATAGACTGCACAGTTGGGGTGCCTGGGTAGCTCAGTCCATTAAGCATCTTTACTTTGTCTGGGATCATGGTCTCAGGGTCTTGGGATTGAGCCCCCACCCCATCTGACTCCCTGCTCAGCAGGGAGTCTCCTCCTCCTTCTGTCCCTCCCCCAACTCATGCCTGTGTGCTCTCTGTCAAATAAATAAGATCTTTAAAAAGTGGAAGAAAAAAAAAAAGGCTACACAGTGTATTAAAATTCCAGTGCAGTATGGAATAAATAAATACATTTTGGGGTTAGAAAATTTCAGGCTATTTGCTATTTCTTTTATTCCTTTTCAGCTACCAACTCTGATGTTCCTGCAGTCATGTGACACTCCTAATCCTGCCACATTTTATTTTATTTTTTTATTTGACAGAGATCACAAGTAGGCAGAGAGGCAGGCAGAGAGGAGGAAGCAGGCTCCCTGCTGAGCAGAGAGCCCAATGTGGGGCTCGATCCCAGGACCCTGGGATCATGACCTGAGCTGAAGGCAGAGGCTTTAACCCACTGAGCCACCCAGGCACCCCTCCTGCCACATTTTAAACACTAGCTTCCAGGAGTGCCTGGCTGGCTTAGTCAGTGGAGCTTGTGACTCTTGATTTTGGGGTTGTGAGTTTGAACACATGTTGAGCACAGAGATTACTTAAAAACAACAACAACAAAAAGAAACATTGGTTTTCAGAACACAAAAAATGAATTTAATCTAGAGTAGGTCATATGTCATTAGTTTTTTAGTAGCTTATGTGAGTATTCATGTACCTACATTCAAGTTATCTGTTTTATCTTTGAAAATAACTACAAAGTAATTCTTTTCACATAAATATGACATCTTTCCTTTATGTGTGTTCCCCTAGAATTAGAGTGTTGTATGATTACACAATGAGTACTCTCAGGCTCCTTCTCTGAAATACCCAAAGGAGCAACTCCGTCATCTTGCCTCAGGAGTTTTTGTTGCTATAAACAAGAGCTACTTTTCAGTTTATACTCACCTCAAAGAGATGACCTTGCAGTTAGCCAGTGTAGTCTGTAGAGCTGGTTTCGGGTTACTTGTTAGGAATGTGGTATTTAGGGTAGTAAGAGATACTCAACCTAAACTTGCTTCTCTAAAGAACGTAAGAATTGCCATGTTGGATCAGACCTTGTGTCTCTTAACTGACACTGAGAGACATATTGTGGATGATTATAATTACCTTCTTGGATAAACTTAGAAGGTTAGAGAACATTCCTCTTGAGTTCCAAGGTGTGGGAGGGCTAAGGAGTAAAATATGAGTTCCCATTGAGGAAAGTATTAATCAAGTAGTTAGTCAACCACTTATTCTGAGTGTTGTAGAGAGGACTCAACCTTAGGGTAGAACGTTAAAACTAGAAGCATCCTTCTAATTCTCCTCCTCTAACCCATTAATTTACTCAAGCTATTTTTTTTAAAAGATTTTATTTATTTATTTGACAGAGATTACAAGTAGGCAGAGAGGCAGGCAGAGAGAGAGGAGGAAGCAGGCTCCCTGCTGAGCAGAGAACCCGATGTGGGGCTCGATCCCAGGACCCTGAGATCATGACCTGAGCTAAAGGCAGAAGCTAAACCCACTGAGCCACCCAGGCGCCCCTACTCAGGCTATTTTTTAAAATTGTAAACCACTGTTTTAAAATAATAAATTCTGTAAGTTTGTTATATGATAAAGTTTACATCTTTTAAATTCATTAAAGTAATAGTAACGAATAGTGCTTGACAATAAGTGTCCAACAAATGTTAGCTGTGATTCTTTTCATTCAAGCTACATTTTTATGATTCAAGCTTTGAAGATATCTATTGGTTCAGTTATTCTAGGATTTGATAGCATTTGTTTGCTTCATCATATCTTTTTGTCTTTTTCTAGATTCCAAGGTCCTAATTGTTTTGGTTCTCTTGTCGGCAGCCAGCTGAACCAGTTCACTGATTCTCTTTTTTAATTATTTAATTATTCATTTATTTTTTAAGATTTTATTTATTTATTTGACAGAAAGAGAGAGAGATCACAAGTAGGCAGAGGTAGGCAGAGAGGAAGGAGGAAGCAGGCCCCCTGCTGAGCAGAGAGCCAGATGCAGGGCTCCATCCCAGGACCCTGAGAGCATGACCAGAGCAGAAGGCAGAGGCTTAACCAACTGAGCCACCGAGGCACCCTGATTCTCTTTTTTTAATCCCTAGTTTTATTTTTTTTTAAGGTTTATTTTTGGGTGGGAAGGGGCAGAGGGAGAGAGAATTCTGAAGCCGACTTCCCACTGAGCTTGGAGTGTTGCAGAACTCAATCCCTGAGATCATGACCTGGGCTGAGATAAAGAGGCGGCCACTTAACTGACTGAGCCACCCATGTGCCCCTATTCCTAGTTTTAAACCTTTAATTTATGGAAGTTCAGATAGCGTACTGTAATATTTTGCAATTAATTTTTTTCTCTAATATGTGACAATATCATGCATCTCTTTTCCTTAATTTCTTAAGAGCAGATACGCTGTCCCTTTTCATCTCCAGTGAGCCTAATTCTGTGCCTGATGTGGAGTAGAGACTCAGTAAATATTTGTTGAACTGGCCAAAATGACAGACATAAGCTTAGCCTAGCTACCTAAGCAAATTTATATCCCCTAATTTAGAAAAGTAGAAAATTCTAGAAGTCTTTTAGGGCAAGGCGAGTCATTCACTACACAGAAATTTATTACATACCTGTTATGTGCCAGATTTCCTTAGAAAGTTTTGGGTAGGCAGTTTTGTAAATAGTCTGATATTTGAACACTATTTATTTACTCCTGTGTTCTGGGTACTGAACTAGTTATAGGGGAGCTGTTGAAAAAGAAAAGCAATCTCTGCTCTCCCAGGATGTAGTCTGGTGAGGAGAGGCTGACAAAGTGAGTTAATGGTTATGACAGGGATGCTGCAGCAGGTACTAAGGAAGCAAGAATGCAAGCTTATATCTAGTCAGGGAAGTCATAGGCCTCCCTGTAAATGAACATGTATGTATATGTGTGTATATATTTTATTTTGTTTTGTTTTATTTTATTTTATTTATTTTTTAAGTAAACACTATGCTCAACATGGGGCTTGAACTCATGACTCTCAGATCAAGAGTTGCATGCTGTACTGACTGAGCCAGCTAGGCATCCCAGGATATGATGTTTTATTTATTTATTTTTTTAAAAAAGATTTTATTTATTTATTTGACAGACAGAGATCACAAGTAGGCAGAGAGGAATGCAGAGAGAGAGGAAGGGAAGCAGGCTCCCTGCTGAGCAGAGAGTCTGATGCGGGACTCGATCCCAGGACCTTGAGATCATGACCTGAGCCGAAAGCAGCGGCTTAACCCACTGAGCCACCCAGGCGCCCGGATATGACGTTTTAAATAAGTTATAAAAGTTTAGCAGTGACTAGCCAAACAGGAAGGAGGAGAATTCCCGGTAGAGGAAACAAGTGTGAAGACTCAGGTGAAGAAATATGGCATGTTTGAGAAATTTAAAAAAAAATCGGCGACAGGAGCCCACAGCATGAGAGGAAGAACTATGAGAAATGAGGCTAACATGTGGACAGGGGACAGACTTGGAGGATTCTATAAGCACTGTTAAGATGCTTGCACTTCAATAGCAAAGGGAATCCTCTGAAGGATTCTGAAATGGGGAAATGGCCTGTGGCCTTTAGTAAGATGACTCTGTCGGCTCTGAGGATAATGGAGTGGAGAGCAAGACCAGAGATTAGGATACTGAGGAGAAGCAGCTGGAAAAATTCAGGTAACAGTGTGGCGGCTTAGAATATGGTGGTGGCAGCACAGATGGAGGATGGGGGATGGTTCAAAGAAAACTACAGATGATAGAATGGATAGGATTTGGTGGTTGATTGGATTTAGAAAGAGAAGGCTGAAAAATAACTCGGTAGTATCTGGCTTGAGAAAATAGGTAGAGGATAGTGCCATTTATAGAGGCAGGAAACAGGAGCAGGTTTATGAGAGAACATGAGTTCAGTTTAAGGTGTCTACAAGATAAATTTTAAGAGGCATTTGGGTACAAGTGGTATAGCATTCAGGAAAAAGGTGTGAGAATCATAAAAGGCAGAAGCATAAGTCTGATATAAGGAATTTTAACTAGGTCAAATACAAACAAAAATTGATTGAACCAATGTGTCAGTGCCATGATGAACAGGGCCTGTGGGAGACAAGCTTTTTATTTTTTTATTTTTATTTTTTTTAAGATTTTATTTATTTGTCAGAGAGAAAGCGAGCACGCACAAGCAGGCAGAGTGGCAGGCAGAGGCAGAGAGAGAAGCAGGCTCCCTGCTGAGCAAGGAACCTGATGTGGGGCTCGATCCCAGGACCCCAGGATCCTGACCCAAAGGCAGTGGTATAACCCACTGAGCCACTCAGGTATCCCAAGACAGGCTTTTTTAAAGAATCAACTCCTAGGGGCGCCTGGGTGGCTCAGTGGGTTAAGCCCCTGCCTTCGTCTCAGGTCATGATCTCAGGGTCCTGGGATCAAGTCCCACATCGGGCTCTCAGCTCAGCAGGGAGCCTGCTTCCCTCTTCCTCTCTCTCTGCCTGCCTCTCTAACTACTTGTGATCTCTGTCAAATAAATAAATAAAACCTTTAAAAAAAAATAAAGAACTCCTGCCCTCATAGAATTAAAAATACCAAAAAATAAAAAATTAAGAAAAAGAAAGAAGCAGTACCTCATAGAGAGTATAGTTCAGTTATGGAAATAGAGTTCTGTTCAGTTAACTACAATACAGAGCACAATGTGGTAATCATTAAAAGAGAGCTACAAACCAAGTGTTGGGGGACTGTAGACAAGAAAATGCTTTGGCAGGGGCTTTGTGGCAGAGGGGGTTTTGAACTGGGTCTTGAAGGGAAAAGTTGAGGGAAAAGAGAGTTTGGGCTTAAGGAATAACAAAGGTAATAGAAACCTGAAGGTACCTATTGTATATTCAGAGTACAGGGGGAGGCTGGTATGGCTGGCACTTGAGGTTCTAGGGGAATCGCAGTTGCAGATGAAACTGGAAAACTCTTTGGGGGACAGATTCGGGAGACTTTGAGTGCCATCCTTAACTATGCATATTGTAGAAAAGCGCTGTGACAGAGCCAGATGTGGATTTGGTTGTCTACCAGTCCCACATTCAAACGTGCTTCCACCATGTGCCTACTCTTATCAGCATATCCTAATCATCTCACATATCTAAGTAAACACAGTGCTCTTACCTATACTCTCTTAAGTGACTCCTTTCTTTGCAGCTGTGAGAACTAACCACTGCAGAATATCCAGGGGCCCTCAGAATTTTCATGAAAATTGGGATGATGCTTTGAATTACATTAGAGTCAAGGAGCACCTGGTGTTGGACACTGGTTTCCCCAACAAGTCTGCAAGGGAGATGTCAGGCAAGATCATCTCTCCCTTCAATCTGAGGCAAAGAGATAGTAAGAAGTTCCTGGAAGACATACAGTTGGATTCAGAATTTATTAAACAACCACACAATACAAATCATTTTTCTTCCTATGCAGTTTATTTCATTTAGCGGATACTTTATTTTTCCTTTAAAGATTTTATTTATTTATTTGACAGAGACAGAGAGAGAGGGAACACAAGCAGGGGGAGTGGGAGAGGGAGAAGCAGGCTTCCCATTGAGCAGGGAGCCTGATGCTGGGCTCAGTCCCGATCCCCATACCCTGGGATCATGACCTGAGCCAAAGGCAGACTCTTAACAACTGAGCCACCCAGGTGCCCCTTACCGGATCCTTTTTAAATAATTCACAAAGGACGGAGCATTTGGTGAAGTGCAGTGGCTATTGCAAAGAAAATAGATGATTCCTACTTTCTAGAAGCTTACTGTTTGGGATGGAACTAGTGGTGTGCTGGAAATCAGTTCTCCAGGAAAAAAAAAATATCCTGACCTCTAGTGCTTGCCAATACCTATGGTGTATACTCCCAGCATCACTGATTTCAAGCTACCAATTTGATGTCACTAAACTCAGAGTTGGGAAGAGATGTGCACAATTGATTCTTTTTTTTTTTTTTTTAAAGATTTTATTTATTTGTCAGAGAGATTAAGCACAGGCAGAGTGGCAGGCAGAGGCAGAGGGAGAAGCAGGCTCCCTGCTGAGCAGGGAGCCCGATGTGGGACTCAATCCCAGGACGCTGGGATCATGATCTGAGCCGAAGGCAGCCGCTTAACCAACTGAGCCACCCAGGCGTCTCATGCACAAGATTCTTAAGAGCAGGTTCCAAGGCACTTGGGTGGCTCAGTTGGTTAAGTGTCTGCCTTTCGCTCAGGTCATGATCCCAGCGTCCTGGGATCAGGTCCTGTGTCAGGCCCTCTGTTCAGTGGTGAGTCTGCTCCTCTCTCTCCCTCGTCTTCTCTCAAATAAATAAGTGTAATCTTAAAAAAAAAAAAAATGAGCAGGTCCAGGACAATCACAAAACCTAAGAAAGCCTAAATCAGCAAGTGAGTACTAAGGCATTTCTGGAAAGATCAGAGCCTAGGTCAGCCTCTTCTCACAGTTCCCCTCCTCTTCAGAGGACTGCGATCTTGGAATTGGTAGTCATAATTATCTTGGTGTTCCTTTCCTACAATTGCCATTTTTTCTTTATTTTTTTAAAGATTTTATTTATTTGAGAGAGAGAATGAGAGAAAAAGAGCATGAGAAGGAGGAGAGTCAGAGGTAGAATCAGACTCCCTGCTGAGCAGGGAGCCAGATGCGGGACTCAATCTCAGGATCTCCAGGATCATGACCTGAGCTGAAGGCAGTCGCTTAACCAGCTGAGCCACCCTGGCGCCCAATTGCCATCTTTTCAAACCAGACCAAGTCACTCGTGCTTCTTCTTTCCGACAGCAGCCCAGCTATCTGACTTCATGTGAAAGATGGCTAATGCGGAAGTGAGTGTCCCAGTGGGGGATGTGGTTGTGGTACCCACTGAAGGAAATGAAGGAGAGAACCCTGAAGACACTAAAACCCAAGTGATCTTGCAGTTACAGCCTGTGCAGCAAGGGTAAGTGACTAGAGATTTGGATCTTCTGAAAAATTTGGGAGGTTTAAAGAGTGGGGAAATTATAACTATGTGATTGCTTAGCACAAGGGAATATTCAACATCAATCTCTCTCAATACTGGCTAAGTTTTCATCTTTATAAAGTATTGTGTGCTATATTTGTCATAGTTGTACTTATTACAGCAGTTACTGTGTCCTTGTCTCTTTCCCTCTTCTCCACTGTAAGCTCTTTGAGGGTAAGTTACATGGCTCCCTCTTACTGATGCACACTGTTGAGCACAGGGCCTTGGTACAAGGCTATTTTGTTCTTTTTTCTAAGATTTTATTTATTTATTTGACAGAGATCACAAGTAGGAGAGAGGCAGGCAGAGAGAGAGAAGGGAAAGCAGGCTCTTTGCTGAGCAGAGAGCCCCAATGTGGGACTCAATCCAGGACCCTGAGATCATGACCTGAGCTGAAGGCAGAGGCTTAACCCACTGAGCCACCCAGGCGCCCACCTTGGTGCAAGTTTACTGAAAGACAGTATAGTTAGAGTCAGAGGAGATTAGGCAAGGCAACTACAAAAGTTTTCCTACCAGAAGCAGTCTGGACCCTAAGGGGTGGACAAATCAATCAAGCTTATTTTATCAAAAAATACATGTCAACAACCTACTATTTTTTAATGTATTACACAGTGTTGGAAGAAATTATCGCACATGGTTCTCACCATCATGGAGCTTGCAGTCTAGTTGTGCAAACCAGAAGTACATATATGTAAATAAAGAGATCATTTACATGGCAAAATCTAAGAAGTACTGAGTATCGTGGTTAGGAAGTAGCTTGAATTCAGAGGATCACTATGAATTTGAAAGAAGATATAAGACTTTTTAATTGGTCTTGGAGTTTATCTTTATTTATGTATTTATTTATTCATTTATTTTTTAACATTTTATTTATTTGACAGAGAGATAGAGAGAGCCAGAGAGGACAAGCAGGGGGAATGTCAGAGAGAGAAGCAGGTCCCCACTGAACAGGGTACCAGACGTGGGGCTCAGTCCCAGGCCCCTGGGATCATGATCTGAGCCAAAGGTAGATGCTTAACCATCTGAGCCATCCAGGCACCCCCTGGTTTTGAAGTTTAAATAAGAATTATATCTACAGGGCGCCTGGGTGGCTCAGTGGGTTAAAGCCCCTGCCTTCAGCTCGGGTCATGATCCCAGAGTCCTGGGATCGAGCCCCACATCGGGCTCTCTGCTCGGCAGGGAGCCTGCTTCCTCCTCTCTGCCTGCCTCTCTGCCTGCCTCTCTGCCTGCCTCTCTGCCTACTTGTGATCTCTATCTGTCAGATAAATAAATAAAAAAAATCTTAAAAAAAAAAAAAAGAATTATATCTACAGAGAGAAGGAGGGGGTAGTTAGTTATTTTATCTTGAGGAATGTATGAAAGATTCTTCATAAGATTAGAAATGTTCTTGGGGCATCTGGCTGACTCAGTGGAGCATGTAACTCTTGATCTCAGGGTTGTGAGTTTGGGTGCCATGTTGGGTGTAGAGATTACTTAAAAAAAAGAAAAAAAGGGGGTGCCTGGGTGGCTCAGTTGATTAAGCATCCAACTCTTGATTTCAGCTCAGGTCTTGCTCTAAGGGTTGTGAGTTCAAGCGCCGCATTGGGCTCCACACCAGCGTGGAGCCTACTTAAAAAAAAAAAAAGCGTTTGTGGGATGCCTGGGGGGCTCAGTCAGTTAACCTACGGCCTTTGGCTCAGGTCATGATCCCAGGGTCCTAGGATTGAGTCCCGCATCGGGCTCCTTGCTCAGCGGGGAGCCTGCTTCTCTTTCTGCTTCTGCCTGCCACTCTGCCTGCTTGTGTGCACGTGACCTCTCTCTCTCTCTCTGACAAATAAATAAATAAAATCCTTAAAAAAAAAATGTTCATGGGCAAACACATAAGTAACATACCTTGTCTTAAACACTTAGGGAGAAAGACAGTTAACCTCTCTTGGTAACTTAAACTTTTTAGTATAGGATATTTCAAATATACCCCAAAATTTAAGAAAAATGCTGTAATGAACCCCCATATACACACCCATCACCCAACTTCAACAATTATCAACACATGGCCAGTCTTATTTCATCTCTATATCCACCCACTCTTGAATTTTTTGAAGCAAATCCCAGACATTAGTATGTATCTTATAAAAGTAAGGATTTTTTAGTTTTTAAAATTTAACCATAGTTTGCTGACATTTCTGAATATTGAAGGAAATATTCTAAGATCTGTGAAAGAAAGTTGATATAAATACTGATGGGGTGCCTGGCTGGCTCATTTGGACTATGTGACACCTGATCTTGACGTTGTGAGTTCGAGCCCCATACTGGATGTAGAGATTACTTTAAAAAATAATAAGGGACGCCTGGGTGGCTCAGTTGGTTAAGCAGCTGCCTTCGGCTCAGGTCATGATCCCAGCGTCCTGGGATCGAGTCCCACATCGGGCTCCTTGTTCTGTGGGGAGCCTGCTTCTCCCTCTGCCTCTGCCTGCCACTCTGTCTGCCTGTGCTCGCTCGCTCTCTCTCTCTCTGACAAATAAATAAATAAAATCTTTAAAAAAAAAAATAATAATAATAATAAAATCTTAAAAAATAATTACTGACATACAGTGAATAGAATGATTAGAATTTTTATTTGCACCAAAAGATTATGCTTGCTTATTCAAATTCACTTGTTTGGGAACTTCAGTTGTTATGTACACACATACTTGCAGTTGTTATCCTTTGAGGAAGGGTAATGAGGAAGAATTAAAGAGTAGATTCTTTAATGCATGGCAGCTTTATTTTCTCTTAGAGTCATTGTTTCTTCTCTCTTTCCTAAAGCGCTCCAGTTGTCACTTATCCTATCCCTGCTAGAGACAGAGAACACTTCTCAACTACTTAGAGATTTAATTATTTTGAAGATTAGTTCCATTTATTTTGTGTGTGTATCTTTTTTTATTTTCCAAATGACATTGCTCTCATTTCTTGATTAGATTATAGGCATCTTTGTACAACATTGACTCCCCAACATACTGTTTATACTGAATTTGCCATATGAGCAAATGAATACATTTTCAGGTACTGAATTTTGAGATGCCGGCTAGTCAATGCTCAGTTGATTTCTCTAGTTGTATTTTACTTACTTACTTACGTATTTATTTAGAGAGTGAGCAAGCATGTGTTCAGTGGGGAGGGGCAGAGGGAGAGAAAGAATCCCAAACAGGCTCCATGCTCAGCATGGAGCCTGACATGGGACTCAATCTCATGACCCTGAGATCATGACCTGAGCTAAAATTAAGAGTTGGACACTTTGGGGCGCCTGGGTGGCTCAGAGGGTTGAGCCTCTGCCTTTGGCTTAGGTCATGATTTCAGGGTCCTGGGATCAGTTTGGGCTCTCTACTTGGTGGGGGGCCTGCTCCCCCCTCCCCGTCTGCCTGCCTCTCTGTCTACTTGAGATCTCTCTCTCTGTCAAATAAATAAATAAAATCTTAAAAAAAAAAAAAAAGAGAGAGTTGGATACTTAACTGACTGAGTCACTGAGGCATCCTAGGAAATTTTTTCTTTCTTTTTTATTTTATTTTATTTTATTTATTTATTTGACAGAAAGAGCGAGATCACAAGTAGGCAGAGAGGCAGGGAGAGAAAGAGGGGGAAGCAGGTTCCCCACTGAGCAGAGAGCCCGTTGCGGGCCTCCATCCCAGGACCCTGAGATAGTGACCTGAGGCGAAGGTAGAGGCTTACCCCATTGAACCACCCAGTCACCCTGGAAATTTTTTCTTGATAAAACCTTGTATATAGACTGTGCCCTTACTTCCCACAGCAAGTGCAATTTACTGATTATTGAAATTATGTATAAATAAGAATTTCTTTGGGGTGCTTGGGTGGCTCAGTCATTATGTGTCTGCCTTTGGCTCAGGTCATGATCCCAGAGTCCTGGGATTGAGTCCCTCGTTGGGCTCCCTGATCAGCAGGAGGCCTGCTTCTCCCTCTTCCTCTCCCCTGCTTGTGTTCCCTCTCTCGTGGTCTCTCTCTCTCTGTCAAATAAATAAAATCTTTTAAGATAAATAAATAAATAAATATGAATTTCTTTTTTTTTTTTAAGATTTTATTTATTTATTTGACAGACAGAGTTCACAAGTAGGCAGAGAGGCAGGCAGAGAGAGAGGAGGAAGCAGGCTCCCTGCTGAGCAGAGAGCCCGACTCGGGGCTCGATCCCAGGACCCTGGGATCATGACCTGAGCTGAAGGCAGAGACTTTAACCCAATGAGCCACCCAGGCGCCCTAAATATGAATTTCTTCTTCTTCTTCTTTTTTTTTTAAAGATTTTGTTTATTTATTTGACAGATAGAGATCACAAGTAGGCAGAGAGAGAGGAAGGGAACCAGGCTTCCCACTGAGCAGAGAGCCCAACTCGGGGCTCGATCCCAGGACCCTGGGATCATGACCTGAGCCAAAGGCAGAGACTTAACCCACTGAGCTACCCAGGCGCCCCTGAATTTCTTCTTTTAAAAGATTTTGCACATACTGGTCAATTTAGAGTGAATTTACTGAACTTACTTGAAGCAGTGGTTTCTCATGTTTATCATAATCCTCATTAACTGACCAACTACTTATTGAGTACCGTGCCACGTTCTAGTTAGTATTCGACACACTAGACATACAAAAATTGAATAAATAAATAAGACTTGATCTCTGTTCTTGGGAGCCTCTGAGACTGTGCCCAAGGAGAGGCAGACAGCTGAACAAATATATAATATTAAGTGTTATATGCATTGTGACAAAAGCCTGAATTATAGCTGGGTCACAAAGGAGGAGATAGGTGATTATACTGGAGGGTTTTTTGGAAGAAAAGGCATCATAGAGGCTACTCATTAAAAAACAAATAGGAGGGCACCTGGTTGGCTCAGTCAATAGAGCATGCAACTCTTGATCCTGGGATTGTAAATTCAAGCTCCACATTGGGTGTAGAGAATACTTAAAAAATAAAATCTTGGGGAGGCCTGGGTGGCTCAGTCAGTTAAGCCACTGCCTTTAGCTCCAGTCATGATCCCAGGGTCCTGGGATCAAGTCCCACATGGGGCTCCTTGCTCAGCAGGGATCCTGGTTCTCTCTCTGCCTCTGCCTGCCACTCTGCCTGCTGTGCTCTCTCTCTGACAAATAAATAAAACCTTTAAAAATAAATAAATAAATAAATAAATAAATAAATAAATAAAATCTTAAAAACAAACAGGGTCACCTGGGTGGCTCAGTCGGTTAATCATCTACCTTTGGCTCAGGTCATAATCCCAGGGTCCTGGGATCCAGCCTTGCTTTCAGCTCCTACTTTTTCCTCTCCCACCCCCATGCTTGTGCACTGGCATACATGCTCTCTCTCTCTCTCTCTACCATGCTCTCTCTCAAATAAATAAATAAAATCTTTAGAAAACAAACAAACAGATGAGGAAGGTTGTTCTGGGGAAAGGGGGAAGTAGAACAAAGAGGGAAGGTATGAAAGATGACAATTCTGGGAACCACAAATAATTTGGTATGACTAGGGCTTGGATTATAAGGTGAGGTTTAGGGAGACGTGAAACCAGGGGCCCGATCTTGGAGCAACTTAAATATCCTATGAAGGATTTGGGGCTTTTTTGTAACAGCAAGTAGAGGGTTCTTGAAGGGTTTTAAGGAGGGGTTTACGTGATCTCTCCCATAGGAATATAGAGATCAGGAGATGCAAGGAGACTAGTTTAGACCAGAGATGCTGCAGTCTGAATTAAGGCAGTAGCAGTGGAAAAAGAGACAGGGAGGCTGGCTCGTGTTAAGTAGTTACATCTGGTAGGATTTGGTGGCTGAGGATGTGGGAGTTGAGGAGGAGGAAGAGGGAAAAATCTGATGTAATCCCCAGGCTTCTGTCTTAGGCTGTAGAGTGCTGGTGGTGCCATTAACAGGGATAGGAAATATAAGAAGAGTGGTTTGGGAGAGGGAAGAGAACTTGGTTATTTTAGACATAATGAATTCAACAAACTGCTATGGGACATCCAGAAGCGTTTATTCATTTAGCAAGTAAACTGTGTCCTGGTGTGAAATTCAGAGGAGAGGCCTCTGTGCTAGAGGCGTCACCATGGGGGTGCTGTCAAGTAACAAGATGCAGGGGCATCTGGGTGGCTCAGACAGTTAAATGTCTGCCTTTGGCTCAGGTCATGGTCCCAGAGTCCTGGGATGGAGCCCCACATTGGGCTCTCTGCTCTGTGGGGAGTCTGTTTCTCCCTCTCCCTTTGTGCTCTCTCTCTCTCTCAAATAAATGAATAAAATCTTTTTTTTTCTTTTTTAAAGATTTTTATTTATTTATTTGACAGAGGGAGATCACAAGTAGGCAGAGAAGCAGGCAGAGAGAGAGAGGAGGAAGCAGGCTCCCTGCTGAGCAGAGAGCCCGATGCGGGGCTCGATCCCAGGACCCTGGGATCATGACCTGAGCCACCCAGGCGCCCCTAAATGAATAAAATCTTTTTAAAAAAAGATGCAATAGTTAGTACATTAAGTTTATTATAGAAATTAAATGTTGTTAGTATATTTTATTAGGTTATCTGAGTCCATTTCTTAGAAGGTAAAACCATTTAATTTTTTTTCTTTTTTAAAAAAGATTTTATTTGGGACGCCTGGGTGGCTCAGTTGGTTGGATGACTGCCTTCAGCTCAGGTCATGATCCCGGAGTTCCGGGATCGAGTCCCGCATCGGGCTCCCAGCTCCCTGGGGAGTCTGCTTCTCGCTCTGACCTTCTCGCTCATGCTCTCTCTCACTGTCTCTCTCTCAAATAAATAAATAAAATCTTAAAAAAAAAAAAGATTTTATTTATTTATTTGACATGGAGAGGCAGGGAGAGTGGGAGAGGGAGAAACAGGCCTCTTGCTGAGCAGGGAGTCCGATGCGATGTGTGGCTTGATCCCAGGACCCCGGGTTCATGACCTGAGCTGAAGGCAGTTGCTCAACGACTGAGCCACTTAGGCATCCCTATTTATTTAAAATTTTTTGAAAAGGAGGTGGGGATGGAGAGTAGGAGAGTCAGAGAATTTTAATCAGGCTCCACACCCAGTGCAGAGCCTGATGCAGGGCTCAATCTCACGACCCTGAGATCCTGACCAGACATGAAATCAAGAATCCTGTGCTTAACGACTAAGCCACCCAAGTACCACAGAAGGTGGAAACATTTTACAAAGACTTTCCCTAAGTGATACGTCTAGTTAATGCTAGTTACTGTGTCTCTGTCTCTTTTTTCTTTTCTTTTCTTTCCTTTTTTTTTTTTTTTTTTTTTTTTACTAGGCTCTGTTCATATCAATAGTTTGGTTATGATCCTTTGAAAAATGCTAAAGTGCTAAAGAAAGACTAAAGTATCCAGATTCCAACAAAGGACATCAGCTTCTATGGTCAATGATCTTTTTTTTTTTAAGATTTTATTTATTATTTATTTGACAGTGAGAGAGAGGGAGAGCACAGTTAGGGGGAGCAGCAGGCAGAGGGAGAGGGAGAAGCAGGCTCCCCGAAGAGCAAGGGGCCCCACTTGGGGCCCAATCCCAGGGTCCTGAGCAGACCTGAGCAGAAGGCAGATGCTTAATCGACTGAGCCACCCAGGTGCCCCGGGTTCTTCCTGTCTTGTATTGTCCGACAATATTACTTTTTAGTCTTCTTAGGATAATTCTATAATATAACTTAATCTTATACTTGAAGCAATATTTTATGTTATAAGCATTTAAGGTATGAAGGGAAAAGTCTAGTGTGAAACAGTAACAAGTGGTGATGTAAAGATAGTAGCAAGAGGAACCTCCCTTTGAGGTGAGAAAGTTGTTGATTCATGTCCATGGTCGTAGCTGCTAAGTAGTCCTGGGTAGCTTGGAGTTTAAATACAATGGGAAACTATCAAAGCACTAACATAGAGTTGTAAAGTATATTTATTTTATTCCTTTTGAGATAGATTATAACAAATTTCTTAACCCCATGCTGTGAATATTAATTTTTTCATGATTTATGTAGTTTGTTTATCGATGGACACTTTTACAACAGGATTTATGAACCTGGGTCCGAGAACAACACAGCAGTTGTGGCAGTAGAAACTCACACGATTCACAAAATTGAAGAAGGGATTGGTAAGTCTTTTTGTTATTCTGGTATCTTTAACCTTAGCTTCCTTGGTTGAGATTTCGTGCCTTTTGTGCCTTATATTTTCCCCCAACCCAGTACGCCCTACCAGGGCTGCAGCCATGAGTTTGATGATGGTGCATCTAGAGACACCACTGACTAGGCCCGTCAGTTGATTATTTAACATCAGTTTGCTAGGGTGCTGAAAAGAGTTTTCATCTACAAAAATTCCACAAAGAAATTAGAGCCTCAAGGTTGATCTGTCATGAGGGAAGTTGCTGATTAGGACGTACGAGGTGTTGATTGGAAGGCAGTCGGTGGAAAGAAATTGAAAAAAAAGTTTGAAACTAGACAAGCCAGAGTTTAAATCCTGCTTTCTCACTTCTTAGCTGTATGTCCTTGGGAAAGTCACTTCAACTTTCTGAGTTGCACCTACATACATCGGAAACAATTATTGCCTCCCAGGATTGTTGTAAGAACTAAGTAAGATTAAGCATGTAAAAGCACATAGGACAGTATCTTGGATGTAGGGTGAGCTTGGTAAGAGAGCTGTTATGTCAAACTTCTTCCAGAAGATTCCAAAACGAAACCAGCCAATGTGAACTGTTAGCTACTCAGAGGAACCAAGAGACTAGAGATTTTGAATTAAGTTTTTGGGAAAAAGCATTCAATAAATAACTGATATTTTTTTCCATTTTCAGATGCAAGCACTATAGAAGCAAATGAGGATATGGAAATTGCTTACCCCATAACTTGTGGGGAGAGCAAAGCCATTCTCCTCTGGAAGAAGTTTGTATGTCCAGGAATAAATGTGAAGTGTGTCAAGGTAATTGCCTTTTCTCCTTACTGGGGTCTGTTTGGGGGCTCCTTGTTTTCAAAGAGTATACTTTCAGTGCCTCTTCTCTCTTGTCTGCTATATCAACGTTTTCAGTTTTGTGGCTATAGTCCCTATGATGTCACAGAAAAAAAAGGGGGGGCTTTGGAGTGAAATTGGCCTGGATTCAAATTCCACGCAGAACACAAGTTCTGTGAGAGCTGAGAACTTGGATTGTTCGCCAGTGTATCCCCAACACCTAGAATGATGCTTGGCATCTTTATCTATAAATGTTTGTTAAATGAATGAATGGAGTCCCATCTCTATGACTGGGTGACCTTGAACAAGTTAATATTTCAGAGTTAAAATGTGAATAATGTGTTAAAATATGAATAATCGTATGTTAAAATATGGATAATCACACTGTACGGTTGCTAGCAGATAAAATGAGATAATATATGTAAAAGGCCTTATAGAAGTGTGCATTAGAGTTTATTGAAAATTATTACTGATAAAACTAAATTCTCATGAGAGCACAAAGTGGAAATAATTGCTTATTCTGTGTCCTTTGGTAGCCACAGCAGTACCCATGGATGGCAGTCACCATCGGTGGCATCATCCTAGAATCATTAAGGATTACCGAGTTTTGAGGCTCTGCAGTGATAGTGGTTTCTGTGGTACTTATTCTTTCCACCACATCCTGAATCTTGTCATTAGGGCTTGGTAGGTTGCTTCTGTTTATTTAAATAGCCTTTGCAACATTGGACCCAAGTGCCTGATTTAGGGCATGAATGGATTCTAGATGCTAATCAGTATATTAATCTCTGATCCTCCTCCTGTCTTCTGTAGCTCTGTACCAGGACAGGGCACTGTGCCCAGAGAAGGATCATCTTCTCTGGCACAACAGGGCAGGAGGCTGGGAGATACAAGGCTATGACTTAAGATGCCATCTGGGTATTTTTCATATGTAACAAATAGAGATACCTTTCTCTTTCTCTTGACCTGCCTAAGTTGACCTTGGGTTAATTGGGACTTTTCTTTTTACTTTAGTTCAATGATCAGTTGATCAGCCCCAAGCATTTTGTACATCTGGCTGGCAAGTCCACCCTAAAAGACTGGAAGAGAGCCATTCGTCTGGGTGGAATCATGCTCAGGTGAGCTTTAATAACAAGCACGTACCGGGTGCCTGGTTGGCTCAGCTGGAAGAGCTTGCAACTCTTGATCTCAGAGCCCCACATTGAGTGTAGAGATTACAAAGAAAATAAAAAATAAAGTAAAAAACAAAAAAGTGCAAACCTGTTGTTTTATTTTATTTTGTTTTAAAGATTTATTAAGTTATTTCAGAGAGAAAGAGTGCAGAGTGGGGGACGGAAGGAGAGTCTTTTTTTTTTTTTTTTTTTTAAGATTTACTTGTTTATTTTAGAGAGAGAGAGAGAGAGCATGAGCAGGAGGGGCAGAGGCAGAGGGAAAGAGAATCTCAAGCTGACTCTGCTGAGTACAGAGACTGTTGCAGGGCTCGGTCTCATGACCCTGAGATCATGACCTGAGCTGAAATCAAGCTGAAACCAAGAGTTGAGTGCTTAACCTACCCAGGTGCCCCTCAGCACATACCTTTCAGCTGACTTTGGGACACTAAATCATGGTAGAATACAGATAATTTAGGATTTTCTATTTAATTCAAAATTTTTATTTCCTCTGAAGAATTGGCTTGTGCAATCCAGGTATTAACCTTCATCAGCCAGTTCTTAAAATCCCTGTGAGAAAAGGAAGATTGACTTGAATTCACTCTTCCCAGCATTTAGGGCAAATTTTTTCTGATGTCAGGATGTTTGGATCCTTTCTGGGCCGAGAAGCTCGGGGGTAGATGACAATCCTACTTGAGATCACCAAGTACAGGCAGGGCTAAGCCTGGTGCTGAGGAAGCGTGCCGACCGTGGAGAAGTGTAGGCTGGTTGACAAGTTCTGTGATAATCTGGTAAGACAGAGGCGCTGTTGATAAGTCACCATCATGCTCAGTAAATGCAGTCCTTTCCATCAATATACCACAGAAATAAACTTCAGAATGTGTAATATCCTCACCCCCATCTTTATGCAGTAAGCTTACTTTTATAATTTTCCTCCCTCTGGAAAGGGAGGAACATTAACATTAACGTTAATTAGTGTTCCTTGAACACTCGCCTATTGATGGATTTTTAAAATGTGGTCAGGATTGGAAAGTTCCTTGCAGAACATGTATCAACACCCTTAAGAACATTTTACCCATTGTCTTTAATTCTTTTTAAGGAATCTGTCCTAAGAAAAATCTATAGTGCTTGTAGAGATTCAGGCATAAAGACATTTATTGCAACATTGTTGAAAATTATAGTCTGCTTTAGGGGCACCTACCTGGGTGGCTGAGTCAGTTAAGGATCTGCGTTCAGTTCAGGTCCTGATCCCAGGGTATCAGACTCCCTGCTCTTTGAGGAGCCTGCTTTTCCCTCTCCCTCTGCCCCTCCTCCCATTTGTACTTGCTTTCTCTCTCAAATAAATAAATAAAATCTTAAAAAAAAAAGAAAGTAATAGTCTGCTTCAATATACAGTCAAGGTATATCTATAGGAAATTTATGGCTCATCTAAACATATATGAGTATATACTATGAAATATTATGAAATTATTAAAATATTTCTAAAGAATTTTTATAGGAAAAATGCTTATGATGTAATAACAGAAAGAAAACAAAATATAAAATCGTGGGTGCCTGGCTGGCTCACTCGGTATAGCATGTGACTCTTGATCTTGGGATAGTGAGTTCAACCCCCATGACGGTTATAGAACTTACTTAAAAAAAATACATGTATAGATGGATACAAATATGTAGAGATATATAGATATGTAGATATGTAGGGGTACCTGGATGGCTCAGCATCGGTTAAGCATCTGGCTCTTGATTTCAGCTTAGGTCTTGATTTCAGGGTTGTGAGTTCAGGCCCCTCACTGGGCCCCATGCTGGGTTGGGAGCCTACTAAAATATATATATATATGTATATCAAACTGTGATTTTAGTTATGTAAAAAACAGACATACTTGTATACACATAAAATTTAATGGAAGAAAATATGCCAAAATGTTAATGTATCTTTGTGTTGTTGGATTTTTTTTTAAAGAGCAGTGGTTTTCTTTATAGTTTTATGTATTTTCCACTGAGAATGTTAATTTTTTCTTCACACATTATTTTATTTTATTTATTAAGATTTTATTTATTTATTTATTTGACAAAGCGAGACACAGCAAGAGAGGGAACACAAGCAGGGGGAGGGGGAGAGGGAGAAGCAGGCTTCCCGCTGAGCAGGGAGCCCGATGTGGGGCTTGATCCCAGGATCCTGGGATCATGACCTGACCTGAAGGCAGACACTTAATGACTGAGCCACCCAAGCACCCCTTCACATATTATTTTAATATAGAGACACATTTTAAAAAAAGAAATTATTCTAGATGATTTGTATGCAGAAATCAGTACTTAGTTAAAATTGGGAAGGAATACTTATAACTTTCATTATTGTTGTTCTTGGCTTGTTCTTTTTGCCCAGAAAAACAAGTACATGCCAACTTTCCTCAAATGTAAGAAGGAATCAGAATGCCTAAAAGATCTTTAGTGAAAGCCGAGTAACGTTATAACATAGAGTTTACTATAATTAAAATACCCCATGGCTTTGCTCATGGCCTATAATAACAGTGTCTTGTGAATTCAGTTATAAGGGCATTTTATAGTGGGGGTTTAGTATAATCAACTTTGCACTGTATTTATAGGAGAGTTGTTAGCCATTTTTTTTTTTTTTTTTTTTTTTTTTTTTTTTTAAGGAAAGAAATGTGCTGAAGTTTTGTCTCCAAAAGTGGCAACAGATCTTGCTGGTCTAAGAATACTAATACATCAGAATCTCATCATAAAATTCTCAGTTATGCTGGGATATATGAATTAGTCTTTTCTGCTTTTGGGTTTGGTTTCAATGAGATTCTATGGCGATACTCAGATGTTGTCAGAAGTGTGTCCCTAGCTAAAGCTTGGTGATAATGGGAAGTGAAACAATACTCATAATGAGCAGACTAGGGAGGGAAGAGGAGTACTTGTAAATATGGGCAGGACCAATGAAAATTTTATAATCCCAAGTAGAATTTTTGCAACCTAATGACTTTTAATCCTACTAGGTTTCACTAATCTATGGAATAGATGCAACAACGTTGTTTCTATTTGTCTCTGAGGCCTAGAGTGCAGGCTGAACTGGTACTTCTTATCTCTCTTTACACAGGAAAATGATGGACTCCGGACAGATTGATTTTTACCAACATGACAAAGTTTGCTCCAATACCTGCAGAAGCACCAAGTTTGATCTTCTGATCAGCAGTGCAAGAGCTCCAGTGCCCGGACAGCAGACAAGTGTGGTGCAGACACCCACTTCGGCTGATGGTAGGGGGTAGGAAACCACCTGAAAACCCAGTGTTTTTTAGTAACACTTTTCCCCTTACTTCTCTCTTGTGTTTCTTAATTTTAATTCTCATGAGCACTGATGTCCTTGTAAAGTGTGCTGATCTTGGGTGTGATTCCATACTTTAGAAACAGATCTCTTGGTTTTCTCCCAGATGATTCCTGTTGGCCATACCTACTTCCTTGTTTCTTTCTAACTAAATGGTAAACATTAGAAAGATGGTTCAGGGGCACTTGGGTGGCTCACTCAGTTAAGAGTCCCACTCTTGATTTCGGCTCAGGTCACCATCTCAGGGTTGTGAAATCAAGCCCCCCGTCAGGCCCTGTGCTGGGTGTGGAGCCTGCTTAAGATTCTCTCTCGACAGCCCCCCCCCATGCATGCTCTCTCTAAAGAAAGATGATTCAGTGGTTATTATGTTTATTCAGTGGTCTCACTTCGGTACCACTTGGCATATCTTTGAAATTAGATTGTTTTGAAAATCCTTTGCTCTACTGGTGGTCAGGAAGGAAGGTAGAATGGTGAAGGGTCTTCAACTGTTGAGTTGAGATGTATCAAAGATAATGTATGGTTGGCTGGACTGGACTCTGGAGAGTCTGCTGCTGTACAGATCAGAGAGCTCTGCCTGGAAGGGATCCACAAAAAAGGCTTCCTCACAAATGAGGCAAGATGGGCATATGCTTAACTTCAGTATTGTTTACCTTGGGAATAGAGCTTGTTGCTCTTCTCTAGGAAAGATAGAGCCATGTGAAAGATGATTGTTAAGGATTCAGTTAGTCCAGGGGAGCCTGACTGGCTCAGTTGGAACAGTGTGTGACTCTTCATCTTGAGGTCATGAGTTCAAGCCCCACACTGGGTATAGAGATTACATATATACATGCATACATACATAAACTTAAAAAAAAAAAAATTCAGTTAGTCCAGTTAAGATTCTTGTCTCAACTACTTCCACAAGACTTAAAAATATGCCTGATAGAGTTGTAAGGACACTAACGGATTTAAGGGAAGTACCATGTTTTAATAATGACCGCTAAAGGCTTCTCTTGGTCAGCCCTAATAATCTGTGAGTAACCACTGGGTGAGAGGAAGCCAAATCTCTTAGAACCTATGTTCCCTTCAGGAAAGTATAAAATATCTAGCAGTTTGAATTTTTGGTCCTGGGTGTCTTTCACTTGAAAAGTAAAAAATGCTATGAAATTATTGACTTACTTTTTGTTGGCCAAAACTCCACTAGTTGATTATCCATATCAATATTACTTTTTTGCTTGATTATTAATATCCTCCAGCATGTGGAGTCCATTCTTGTCTATATATCTGTCTGGATCAGTTTGATTTCTCTCCATTCTCTTTGTTTAAAATCTTTTTTTTTTTTTTGAGATTTTATTTATTTATTTGACAGACAGAGATCACAAGCAGGCAGAGAGGCAGGCAGAGAGAGAGGAGGAAGCAGGCTCCCTGCTGAGCAGAGAGCCAGACGCAGGGCTCGATCCCAGGACCCTGGGATCATGACTTGAGCCGAAGGCAAAGGCTTTAACCCACTGAGCCACCCATGTGCCCCTAAAATCTTTTTTTTTTTTTTTTTAAGATTTTATTTATTTGACAGAGAGCACGGCAGGGGGAGTGGCAGGCAGAGGGAGAAGCAGGCTTTCCGCTGAGCAGGGAGCGGGATGTGAGACTTGATCCCTGGACCCTGGGATTATGACCTGAGCGGAAGGCAGACGCTTATCCAACTGAGCCACCCAGGTGCCCCTGTTTAAAATCTTAATATATGAGGGGTTCCTGGCTGTCTTAGAAAAGCATGTGACTCCTGATCTCGGGGTCGTGAGTTCAAGCCGCATGTTGGGTGGAGAGATTACTTAAAAAAATAATAATAATAAAATAAAATCTTGGGGCGCCTGGCTGGCTCAGTGGGTTAAGCCGCTGCCTTCGGCTCAGGTCATGATCTCAGGGTCCTGGGATCGAGCCCCGCATCGGGCTCTCTTCTCAGCGGGGAGCCTGCTACCTCTCCTCTCTCTCTGCCTGCTTGTGATCTCTCTCTGTCAAATAAATAAATAAAATCTTTAAAAAAAAATAAATAAAATCTTAATATACAATGTTAATAGCACAAGTTCTTTTCCTCTGTGAATCTGCTATTCATGGATCTCTTACCTGATTTTTTTGGTCTAATTTCTCTTGTTTTCTCATACATAGCCTGATAATTAAGCTATAACAACTTCTGATATTCTAGATGGTTAATGTTCTTGGCTAAGCACCATATTTTTCTCTTAAATTATTTTAGATCCTCCACATCCTTGCTAAGTCTGGGGCAGACAGTCCGGCAATCATGCTCACCTTCAATCTTTTTAAAAAACGTACCTGCTTAGGAAGCAGATTGCTCTTTTGTGATTTTATAAGTTATCTTTCCCTTTCTATTCAGAGTAAGAAGAAAGCTTTTTCTTTTCAAAGACAGGTTTTCTTTAGAAAATCCAATATTCATCCTGGTTTACCAAGGATTCTAGTTTTTACTATATGGACCTGCAGGCAGAAAGCCAGAATATTAAAATAACAGTGTCTCTTTGGCTGTATGAGATAAAGGATAGCTATGACTTTTTCATGAAATTCACTGGCTTTACCTCTAATGGACTGCTTTTAGGTAGCATCACACAGATTGCCATCTCAGAAGAGAGTATGGAAGAGGCAGGGCTGGAATGGAATTCCGCTCTCACTGCTGCTGTCACCATGGCTACAGAGGAGGGTGTGAAGAAGGACTCAGAGGAAATTTCAGGTACTTTTCTGTGAGGTTCAGATACCTTGCAGGGTCTTGTGACCCTTCTCACCATTATGATCATGGACACAGGAGGTCTCTTAATTACTTTGGTGGTTTTTCTCATGCACATTAATAATTGTAGCTGTAGACATTTTATTTTAATCCATTGCAACAACAGCCATGCACAGTCACATTTTGCATAGGAAGAAATTGAGATTCAAAAAGATTCAGCAGCTTGCCTCAGACCAGCCGCACAGCCAGCAGTGTCAGAGCCGAATTCAGCTGTTTGACTCTGCAGTCAGTGCTTTTCATCCTGTCAAACTGCCTCTAACTTTGGAACGTTTCTTAGATAAACCAAGCTGCAAGATGTTAGAAGGAAAAATTAGGTAGCAGGTGGTGTAGAGGATGGTGACTAATGATGATTCACTTAGAGGGGACCAGGAGGGGTTTCACATCATCCTCCATTCATTAATTCATTTGAAAAATATTTATTGCTGCCTATTTTTAGTTGGCACCGTTGCCAACATAGGTGAAAAGACAAAGCCTCTGCCCTCAGAGAGCTTATCGTCCCACCGACTCAGCTGTTTTATTTTATTTTTTAAGTATAGGACTAGAGGGAGTACAGTTGCCCTTTGAACAAGGTGGCAGTTTGGGGCACCAGCCTCCTATGCAGGGGAAAATCCCCTGCCCTCCCCCAACTTAACTATAAACCTTACCAATAACATAGTCGATAACATATTTTGTATGTTATATGTATTACGTACTCTATTCTTACAATAAAGTAAATAAAGTGTTAAGAAAATCATAAGAAAAGAGTTGTTTAATTTAAAAATGATGAGTACATGAGTACATTTTTTTAATTTAAAAATGATGAGTGCAGTACATCACTGCACTGTATTTATTGAAAAAAATCTGTGTGTAAGTGTACCCTCACAGTTCACACTGTATTGTACAAGGCTTGCCTGTATATCTTTAATATCTTTATTATTTAACTTTTAAGACACTGAATACTATTTAATTTTAAATTAAATTATGTAAATAAATAATATTTAATATTTATTTATTATCTTTATTGGAGGACGATAACCTGCTCCCTACAGCCCAAGCCATGACAAATTAGGGCAATTATCTCAAGTCCCTATGTTGCTGAAGATGCCAAATAATTGGTTTGCAACTTAGGGGGGCAGATAGTATTCCAAAAACTTCTTCCTTTTTCCCAGAAATGGCCCAACAAGAAATCATTTCAAATTGAAATAATTTCGAGTTTAATTTGTAGAGATGTACCTAAGTATACGTAGCATCCCTTGTTTATCTTCTTGTCTTATCCCTCTTGTGTCAGAGGACACTTTGATGTTCTGGAAAGGAATAGCTGATGTAGGGCTGATGGAAGAGGTTGTCTGCAATATACAGAAGGAAATAGAGGAGCTACTCAGGGGAGTTCAGCAGCGGCTCATTCAAGCTCCCTTCCAGGTAACAGGTAAGTGCACTAATTCTAACAACAGTGGTCAGTTTATTGAACACTAACAACTGTAGGCAGATCCTGTTAGTCTCATGAAAACACTGGGGTATAAGTATTATTATCCCCATTTTACAGATTAGGAAACCAAGACTCATAAAAGTTAAGTTACTTGTCCATACTTGATAATAAGTTTTTGAACTCGGTTCTGGTCATGCTCTTCACAGGTAATTTTTGCCTTTATAAATGGTGCCAGAAAGAAGGCTCGCTCTCTATTACATATAGATAGATAGAGTCTGAAAATTGGAGAAAGCGACCTGGTTTTAGACGAGTCTCATATCTATCAGTTTAGGGTTTCCAGAACAATTGTGTACACTTACAGCTCTTTCCGAATACCCATAGGGTACTTGCTGCTGTGCATAATGTAAAAGGATGCTCTAGTCATTTGATACAAAGGGGTTGTGATGACAGGCATCTGGCTGGCTTAGTCGTAGAGCACGTTACTCTTAATCTTGGGGTCATGAGTTTGAGCTCCACATTGGGGGTAGAGTTTACTTAAAAAAAGAGTCATAATATGGGGCGCCTGGGTGTCTCAGTCGGTTAAAGCCTCTGCCTTCAGCTCAGGTCACCATCTCAGGGTCCTGAGATCAAGCCCCACATCGGGCTCTCTGCTCAGCGGGGAGCCTGCTTCTTCCTCTCTCTCTGCCTGCCTCTCTGCCTACTTGTGATCTCTGTCTGTCAGATAAATAAATAAATCTTTTTTAAAAGAAAAAGAATCATAATAATATCTCGTAAGCTTGTGTGTCAATGAGTTCCTAGATTTGTTACTTGTGTCTTATTACCTCTCTGTAATTCATACATTATATAAATACACTTAAACTTTACAGTAGAATCTTTTTTTCATGTTCTTGGAGGGGAAAAAAGGCAAGTAATTTAGAAAGCAGGGATGACTCTTTTAGATAGGGTGATCAAGGAAGGCCTCCCTAAGGCGGTGGCTTTAAGCAGAGACCTGAATTGAAGAGGCTAGCCATGTGATGATCTGGGAGAAGGAACATTTCAGGTAGAAGGAACAAAGACCTTGAAGTTGCAATGGGCCTCATAGATTCAAAGAATTATAGAAGCTCTGAGGCAGCCACAGTGGAGGAGGATATAGGAGAGTGATAGGTGATAAGGTTGGAGAGGAATAGAGAGGACAGTTTAGTTTTTTTTTTTTAAGATTTTATTTATTGGGGTGCCTGGGTGGCTTAGTGGGTTAAAGCCTCTGCCTTCGGCTCAGGTCATGGTCTCAGGGTCCTGGGATCGAGCCCTACATCGGGCTCTCTGCTCAGCAGGGGGCCTGTTTCCCCCCTCTCTCTGCCTGCCTCTCTGCCTACTTATGATCTCTGTCTGTCAAATAAATAAGTAAAATCTTTTAAAAAATTAAAAGAAAAAAAAAGATTTTATTTATTTACCTGAGAGAGAGTGAGAGAGAGAAAGCATGAGCAGTGGGGAGAGGGAGAATGAGGCTCCCTGCTGAGCTAGGAGCCTGATGTGGGGCTCGATCCCAGGACCCTGGGACCATGCCCTGAGCCAAAGGCAGACACTTAACTGAGCCACCCAGGTGCCCTGAGAGGACATTTTAAATAAGCTTTGGTTAGAACTTTGGTTTTATTTTAAGGTGATGGTAAGCCATCATAGTTATTTTGAGCAGGGGAGTGAAAAGGATTTATTTACATTTTTATATTTTTATGTAGTTGTATATTTTTTATTTTATTTCATTTATTTTAAAGATTTTATTTATTTATTTGACAGAGAGACATCGAGAGAGGGAATACAAGCAGGGGGCTTGGGAGAGGGAGAAGCAGGTTTCCCGCTGAGCAGGGAGCCTGATGCAGTGCTCCATCCCAGGACCCTTGGATCATGAACTGAGCTGAAGGAAGACGCTTAACGACTGAGCCACCCAGGCACCCCTATTTTTTATATTTTTAAAAGATCACTTCAGTTGCATGTGGAGAATAGACTGTATGGGGCAAGAAATCAGTTGGGAGGGGTGTGTGCTAGCTCTGGTGATGGAAAGTGCAGCTCTTTTTTTTTTTTTTTTTTTTTTTTTTTTTTAAGATTTTATTTGTTTATTTGACAGAGAGAGATCACAAGTAGGTAGAGAGGTGGGGCGGGGGGTGGGAGTGGGAGCAGGCTCCCCGCCGAGCAGAGAGCCCTGATGCGGGACTCAATCCCAGGACCCAGAGATCACGGTCTGAGCCGAAGGCAGAGGCTCAACCCACTGAGCCACCCAGGCACCCGGAGAGTGCAGTTCTTGATCTTAGGGTTGTGAGTTCAAGCCCGACATTGGGCATGGAGCCTACTCAAAAGAGAGAAGGAAAAAGGAATCAGTTGGGAGACTCCTAAAGGAATTACTCCAGGCAAGAGATGATGGTGGCATGGACTAGAGTGGATAGTGGTAGACCTGGGAAGAAGTGATCTTATCGGGGATATATTTTGAGTGTGGAGCTGACAAGTTTTGCTGATGGACTGGATGTAGGATAAAAGAGAAAGACAGAAATCCAGGATGACTCATACATTTTTTTACCTGAGCCATGAATGGTAACACCATTTCCTAAGATGAAGATCACTGGGAGAGTTGTAGTTAGTATAGTTAGTACTAGTTAGTACTAGTTAGTACTAATTAGTTAGTATACTTGTTGTTGTTGTTGTTTTTAAATAGACCCCATAGGGGCGCCTGGGTGGCTCAGTGGGTTTAGCCTCTGCCTTCAGCTCAGGTCATGATCCCGAGGTCCTGGGATCGAGCCCCACGTCGGGCTCTCTGCTCAGCAGGGAGCCTGCTTCCCCCTCTCTCTCTGCCTGCCCCTCTACCTACTTGTGATCTCCATCTGTCAAATAAATAAAATCTTAAAAAAATAAAAAAATAAATAAATAGACCCCATAGCCAGTATAGGGCTTGAACTCAGAACCCTGAGATCAAGAGTCACATACTCTTGAGACTGAGACAACCAGGCACCCCTCAAAGTTAGTTTTGACTTGGGGCACCTGGTTGGCTCAGTGGGTGGAATATGTGACTGGTTATCTCAGGGTTGTGAGTGCAAGCCCCATGTTAGGCATAGAGCTTACTTTTAAAAAAAAAAAAGAAAAAAAAGTAGTTTTGACTCGCTAAATGATTATGAGGCCTCCAAATGGAGATGTCACTCAGCTAGATGGAGTATGAAATCTGGCATGCAGGAAAGAGGTCAGGGCTGGAAATCTGCATGTGGGAGTTCTCAGCATGTACATGTTATTTAAAAGCATGGAACTGGATGAGATGATTGTGGAAGAGAGCTGTAGGTGGAGAAGTGGTCTGAGTTAAGGAAGTAATGACCGCAACTACTGACAATGCTTTCAAGAAGTTTTGTTTAAAGAGGAACAGAGATAACACTATGAATAACATTGGATGCCAGTTCCCATGTTTGACACTTAAAATATGCTGTTTCTTTAAAAAAAAAAAAACATGGGACGCCTGGGTGGCTCAGTTGGTTAAGCAGCTGCCTTCGGCTCAGGTCATGATCCCAGCGTCCTGGGATCGAGTCCCACATCGGGCTCCTTGCTCATCAGGGAGCCTGCTTCTCCCTCTGCCTCTGCCTGCCATTCTGTCTGCCTGTGCTTGCTCTCTCTCCCTCTCTCTCTCTCTCTAACAAATAAATAAATAAAATCTTAAAAAAAAAAATACTCGATTTATTTATTTGAGAGAGAAAGAGAGCAAGCAGGGGGAGCAGTAGAGGGAAAGGGACAATCCGACTTCATGCCAAGGGCAGAGCCTGATGTGGAGCTCCACCTCACAACCTGAGCCAAAATCAAGAGTTGGACACTTAACCAACTGAGCCACTCAGGTGCCCCTAAAATACGATATTTCTAATCTTCATGTCTGTCTTGCCAGGTAGGTATTATTAGGCCCTTTTGTCTCAGATGAGAAAACTGAGGAGTGAAATGACTTATCTAAGTTCATACAGATAGGAGGAAACCATAAAACTGAGATTCAAGGGGCGCCTGGGTGGCTCAGTGGGTTAAAGCCTCTGCCTTCGGCTCAGGTCGTGATTCCAGGGTCCTGGGATCAAGCCCCACATCGGGCTCTTTGCTCAGCGGGGAGCCTGCTTCCTCCTCTCTCTCTGCCTGCCTCTCTGCCTACTTGTAATCTCTGTCTGTCAAATAAATAAATTAAAAAATCTAAAAAAAAAAAAAAAAAAAACCTGAGAGTCAAACTTAGCTCTATCCAGAGTGACCATGTTTTCTAAACCACAAGTCAGAACTTATAACCAGATGCAAGATTTTAAAAAATTTTATATTTATTTATATGGAAAGATGTGTAAGTTATAACAAAGTTAATTATACATGTGATAAATCTTTGCCAAAAATTTTTAAAATGCAATTAGAATAGTACCATCATTTCTGGGTTGTTTCATATTTATAAGCAGTACAACAGAGAGCTGGGGAAACACTTCTTTTTTAACTTGACAGGCATGTCTTTGTTTTAAATAGATGCTGCTGTTCTCAACAATGTAGCACATACATTTGGCCTAATGGACACGGTGAAGAAGGTATTGGACAACAGAAGGAACCAAGTAGAGCAGGGAGAAGAGCAGTTTCTCTATACTCTGACAGGTGTGTATGACTTGTTTCCTCTTAGATGATATTATACTAATATCCTTGAGTCTTGCCATTTCTTTGTGGACTTCTTTTGGGACTGGCTTCCTTCCTTCCATCCTATTTTCCTTCCTTCCTTCCTCATCATGGTCCTCCTTTCATATCTTGGAGGATTAAGATGTCTGCTCAGTTGCTCCATTTATCCAGTAATATCAGTGACAGAAGAAACAAATTGGCCTTTGTTACATTATCTATATTGCATCTTTTGATAACTATAAATTTATCACCTTCTCTGTTATTTGTGGTATTCAGAAATTATAAGCACATGAATAATTTAACTCTTTTTATCAAGTACTTAATTTATGCTGTCTCTGGAATGACCTGGGTGGCTCAGTCATTAAGCGTCTGCCTTCCGCTCAGGTCATGATCCCAGGGTCCTGGGATCCAGTTCTGCATCAGGCTCCCCGCTGGCTTCTTCCTCTCCCTCTGCTGTTCCCCCTGCTTGTGTTCTCTTTCTCTCTTACTGACAAATAAATAAATAATCTTTAAAAAATTTTTTAAATTTTTAAATTTTAATCTTTAAAAAAACAAATTTGCACTGTGTCCAAACTAGGTTGTGGAAATACAATGTTGACTAAGACAGCTTCATTCTCTTCATGGTGTTTAAGGAACTCAAGGGAAAGCAGACATAGAAATAAGTGCAAAAAAAGCAGACATAGAAATTTGTAACTGAGGCATATAATGGGTATGGGGGAAGAACAAAAGGAGTTGTCACTTATACCCAGAGAGAATCAAGAAAAGGTTTTGGGTAAGGTGGGTGAGAGATACAAAACAAGTCAGAGGTATGGACTATTTCACTTTTGAATGATGCAGAAAATATTATAGTTAGTCCTTAAGCCAAGAGGCAAGATTATTTGGTAAGAGAAGAACAATTTATGTTTTTGTTTGTTTGTTTGTTTGTTTGTATGTTTTTTAAGATTTTATTTATTTATCCACGAGAGAGAGAGAGAGAGCAGGGGGTTGGGGCAGAGGGAGAAGCAGGCTCCCTGTTGAGCAAGGAGCCTGACATGGGGCTGGATCCCAGGACCCTGGGATCAGGACCTGAGCTGAAAGCAGACACTCAACCAACTGAGCCACCCAGGTGCCCCAATTTATGTTGTCTTAAACTTAACCAGTATATATTTTAAACTCAGTTTACTGAGTACTATGAGACCCTTTTCATTGATCCTCCTAAGAATGTTAGAGGCTATTATCCCTGTTTTATAGATGACCTAGGATAGGCACAAAGAGGATAAATATTTGCCTTGGGGCCACATCAGTACTTGGCAGTGAAGCTTGGAATGGAACTTGGCTTTCTTATTCCTAATCCAATGCTTTCACCTTGAAACTTCAAACCATTAAAAAAAATGGTTTTTGTTAGGAATGTGGGCTTCTGGCTTTTTGTCCATATACTTTTTAAGATAGGTTAATCATAGTACACATAAAGTTTTGTTTTCTGCTTTTTCCACTGTGACATAATAATATTTTTCCAAGTGGCTACACAGTACTTTACCTAGACATTCTTCTAAGGATGACATTTAAATTTTCAGGTTTTTCTTTAGTAGCTTATTTTGTTGCAATGAACTTGTATGAATATAACTTTTTCTTTTTATGTGCTTTTAAACTACTTCCCAGAACTAAGCTTCAAGTTAAATGGTATTGAAAATTGTTTTATGGATATTTATGACTTATTGTCAAATTTCCAAGAAGATTATGTCACCATTTTGAACATACCAACATTGGATGTTGTGAAGTATAATAGTCTCTGATTTAACTTTTAAAAAAATTATAGATGTAATTGTTAACTTCTTCAAAGATTTTATTTATTTATGAGAGAGAGAGTGTACAGCATGAAGGCATGAGCAGGGGGGTGGAGGCAAAAGGTGAAACAGATTCCCAGCTGAGCAGGGAGCCTGATATGGGACTCGATCCCAGAACACTGGGATCATCACCTGAGCCAAAGGCAGATGCTTAACTGAATGAGCCACCCAGGTGCCCCATGTAATTGTTATCTTCTTGAGGTTTACATTTCTTTGACTACTACTGAAAATGGGGGAAAAAATGCAGTATTTTGTAACATATGAGGCAGTATTTAAAAATTTTGAGTGAAAAAAAATTTTTTTTAATGTGATCTTGATTCCTGCCTACTCCTTTGATTCTCAGCAAGGAATTGATTTGCTCTTGGTGTTCCATAGGAGCAAAGTGCTCTCCAGATGTAACTGATTATTTATTGAATGTTTCTCAGATACTAAGAAGTAGAAGTTCTGGTGTAGAACCAGACTCACCAGTGGTCACCAGGGTTGGATTATACATTGGGAGAGGGATAGTGATAGGCATATTGTGATGGAAAAGCCAGAAAGTTGGCCATCAGAAGACTTTTGTCTTGGCCCAAACTCTGAGACTTTAAGTAAGTCACTTTACCTCTCTGGGTCCCAGTTAAAAAAAATCCATGTGTTAGTACTCTAAGACCTCTTTTAGTGTTTATAATTCTTAGGGACTTCCTCTGTAATTTTCTGTAGACTTCTCTGGGTGCTAGTAGTAGACGAAGGCCATTTGGTAGACTAAGGTCACCAGCAAGGTGATCTTGCCTTGAAGGACAGTTTGGGAATCACTGTTTTTTTGGAGCAGCCATTGTAGCTCCTCTGTAGGTCCATGTTAGTTCCAAAAGGATTGTGCAAATATTCCTTATTATCATCTGGAGATCCAGGCAGGGCATCTATAAGCCATGAGATCAACAGCAGGCTTCTTTGGTTTGCATTTTGGTGACAGGTGACAAAATGCCACAGGAGCTTCTAGGGCTGGGATGTAGTAGGGTCACAGCCTGAAAATGATTCTGAATCGTTGCCCTGCCTATAATCACACAATGAAATGTAGTTGCTGGAGGGATTTTAAAAATCATCCAGTTTGGTTTCTTCTTTTGAAAACAATGAAGCCATATAGTGGCAAAGCCAGGACAAGACCTCAGGTTTCCTGACTCCGTTCACTGTTCCCAAGAATATACTTCTCTCCCCACAAAGTCTGTGTTTTCTTTCCAGAGTTGGAACGCCAGCTGGAAGAGCAGAAGAAGCAAGCTCAGGATCACAGGCTGAAATCCCAGACGGTTCAAAATGTGGTACTGATGCCTGTGAGCACTCCTAAGCCTCCAAAAAGGCCCCGGCTCCAGCGGCCAGCTTCCACCACAGTCCTGAGCCCTTCTCCTCCGGTCCAGCAGCCTCAGTTCACAGTCATCTCCCCCATCACCATCACCCCAGTGGGCCAGTCATTTTCCATGGGCAATATTCCAGTGGCCACCCTCAGCCAGGGCTCCAGTCCTGTGACTGTTCACACACTGCCTTCTGGCCCTCAGCTCTTCCGCTATGCCACAGTGGTCTCCTCTGCCAAGAGCAGCTCCCCAGACACAGTGACCATCCACCCCTCGTCTAGCTTGGCACTGCTAAGCTCCACCGCCATGCAGGATGGGAGTACCCTGGGCAACATGACCACCATGGTGAGCCCCGTGGAGCTGGTGGCCATGGAATCCGGCCTCACCTCAGCAATCCAGGCTGTTGAAAGCACCTCGGAGGATGGGCAGACCATCATTGAGATTGACCCAGCCCCAGACCCAGAGGCTGAGGATACTGAGGGCAAAGCAGTCATTTTGGAGACAGAGCTGAGGACTGAGGAGAAAGTTGTGGCTGAGATGGAAGACCACCAGCATCAAGTCCACAATGTGGAGATTGTGGTCTTAGAGGATTAACTGGGGATCTCGGGGCCAGGAGATACGTTTTGGTTTGGAATTTTAATTATTTGTTTATTTTTATCATTGTCCCACTCATTTCCACATAGGATCCTTTTTTTTAAACAAAATCTCTTTGATGTAACTGAAAATGTTGGGTACCTCCCACCCCCTTATTGAAAAATGGACAAAAACAAGCTGTCCTTCCAGAAGTTGAGAGTAGGTCACTCAGTGTCCTAATCCTTTTACACCAAGAAAGTTATTTCTTTTAGGGGAGGCATCAGGATAATCAGAAACCCTGTCCAGAAAGCCCTTTCCAGGCTAGTCTGTCTGTGTACGCATGTGGTTTTAGTTTTGTAAAGATGCATTGACCAAACTCTGGAATGCAGATCTGACACTGGAAGGCAGCCCACCCACACATGGAAGTGGAAGGATACTTTTTTTGTGTCCTGGAAAGGACCCTCAGAGGCTGCTGCAAAACTGAAATGAAAGAAAGTTGAACTGTACTTGGAGGGGAAGGTGGCATACCAGCAGCAGCTTAAAAAGGGAAGTGCTTTGGCCAGGATGGGGCAAGGAAATTATCTTAGCTCCAGAAGTGCAACTGATGCCTCTTGATATCTCGAAGGGTTATTACCACGGGTGCCATTTTGAGAAGAGGCCAGAAAGAAGTGGAAGGGTACATCTCCTTGGACCAAGTGGCATCAGGGGCCCAGGGGCCTGTCGCTTTGCAGAAACAGAAATCCCTGGTTGTCACAGCTGTGCTTTGTGATCGAAGCTCACCTTCCCTCCCTTCCCAACTTTGTCAAAGCACTTAACCCTCCTAAATTAGGATCAGTCCATTCATTTGCAAATGTGCGATGTGGTGTAAATTTCTCTGGTTCTTGGACTGTGGCTGTCCTGGGGGTGGGGCTCCAAGGCCATCATTTTTATTGCATGACTCCAGGCGCAGGGAGTTCCTCATCCAGACCAGCTGCCCTTTTTGGTGGGGCCCTTTTTTGGCTTTGGAACCAAAAGCAGCCACTCATTTGGTGCTTCCTCTTGTTCTACCCTCCATCCCTCAATTGTTAATGGCATCTGTCTCCTGGATCCCACGCTTTTCAGCTTTTTGGCTGATTTGGAGAACAGTGACAGGTGCCTGCCTGCCTTCCTCCTCTTTTAGATTCATTTATACCATTTATACCACAGATGTTTCTGTGAGATATTAAGCTCATAAAAAACCTTAGGCTTTGCAGGGAAGACTCAACAGCCCCAGCCTATCCTGAGGCACCGAGTAGATGTCTCCTCCTGAGCAAGCTGGACTCCCTGGGAAAGAAGCATTGTCTGCAACATTATATTATAGGAAATGTACCAGGAATGTCAATAATAATATCTTGGGGGGTTATTATTATTATTTTTATAATGTTGTTTGTATATTTAGAGCTGGGCCATTTTCCGTGCTGTGATTCCTGCTCTTTGACCATCTTCAGTGTTTGGGGCAAGAGTGGATCCTGGTTTTTATTTCTTTGATTGCATTGTTTACTGCACTAGGACAAATATAGGGAAACTGCAGACAATTTAAAGGAAAACAAGGTCAAAAAAAGAAAGCACACACCTTAGGAGTGGGAAGCTTTTTTTTTTTTTTTTTTTTTTTTTTTTTTTTTCAAAGAAGGCACCCACCTGAAGCCATGTCTCTTCCAACAGATGTTGGAAACCCTATTGTCAAGCAAGTGAAAACTGTTCTGCCATCCCTCAGATGGCTTTAATAGCTAGAGAAGCCCCTCTAACTCGGGAGGGCCAATCTTAATAAGCCTTAAGGGTTAAATTTCTGAACCCCATATAGTTGTGGCTTTGAGCTTTAAAATTGTATGGGGTTTTACTTTTCTCTTCAAAATGTTTAATAGATGTAGCAATCAGCTTAGAACAGACCTTTGGCCCTTTAGTGAGGGAATTGGCTTTTATTATTACTTCTTTAGGTTTTCTGATGGTACATAAACCCAGCGTTTCTATCTAAGCCTAAAACTGCTACTTGAACCTAGAAAGGCACATGTCATGTGCTTATCATGGTTTTTAGGGACACTTTTCTCTTTCCCAGAGATGGGAGGTCCAATTCAGGACAGAGGAGGAGCCCTGGAGAACACCCACACACTAGCTCAGGTTCCTTACTTTTCCTCCTTCAGCTGTCTGTAGTGTTTTAAAGTAGTGTGAGCATCACGGTTCCAAAGTCAAGAGATCTCCTCCTCCTGAAGACAGAACCTGTTTACTTTCACTATCTGAATATTCTGGCTGGTGGAAATACATGAGCTTTGTTGTTTTCCTGGTCTTCCAATAGCCTGTCGTTATTGCTAGCTGCTGTGTTCCCGGTCGTTGAGTGGGGGTTTCCTCAGAGCCCTGGTCTAAACAATCTCAGTGTGAGAAATATGCAAGCCGTTGGTATGTACACGAGCAGTTGCAATGAATCATTCCTCAGGCTGACTTGGCAGTAGCCATCTATATTTCTGTTCATTCATTAAATAAACATTTATAAGAACCATCTACGTGCCAGGCTTTGTGCTAGGCACTGGCAATACAGAGATGAAGACAGAGTTCCTGCACTCAAGGACTTCATGCTTCAGAGGTTTTCTGGAGTGAAGAACTATGTTTCAATATAATTGGTTTCTTTTGTAACCCTATGTATTTTATTTCGTGCATTGAAAAACATTCTGAAAATTGGTCCCCAGGTTTCAGCAGACTATAAAAGACACAAAAAAGTTTAGCCTCTTCTAGTGAGATACTGAAACATCATCATGTTGGGGTTGGTGCAGCCACAGAGCTACTGGCTGGGAGCTGAGAGAACAAAGGATCAGGCACCTAACCCGGCTTGGGAAGGTAGGTGGGTACGGGAGTACTTCCGGGAGAAGGTGTACACTCAAGCTAGTTTAGGAGAGATCATTTTGGCTAGTTTTTTTGGTACTCCATTTTCAAGTAGTGGGGCTTGCTTATGTAAGAGGGGGGGAAAGTCCTTAGTCTCTTGCTGCTTCTGCCTCCAGAGCTAGGCAGAGTCAGCAGCATGGGCAGTCTCCCAAGAGTACCCCACTGGAAAAAGCCAAGTCATGTGTTAGCTTCTCTGAGTTTCCATCAGAGGAATCCAGGGTCCAACTGGAGTTTAGCTGGCAGAAGGTAAATGACCCCAACCTTCCTGCCATGTGGTTTCCACAAAGGCCTTGGAGTCAACTGTGCAACCGTCTCACTGGTTATGTCCCTGCCTTGTTCTTTTCCTTCTTTTAATTTCCAGACTCCTTCCGTGCTCCCACCCCCAAAACAAAACAACTCCCAGTTATTCTAAAGTAAAAAATGGACAATGTACTTGAATATTCAAGATTCAAAGCCACTTCATGTGAAGTTTCTTTCCTACCTCTGTCTACATTAGGGAAGGAAGACCAATGTTAATACAAATACCTTGGAAATTGATACTCAGTTCAGGTGGTCTGACACTCTTTTTAGTGGTGGCATTTTATCCCATTTCATGAAAGGCACTAAGGTAAGTGTGGTGGGAAATACTGGTATTGGTAACATCTGATTATAAAGACAGTATAATCAAGCATGAAATATGTAATTACTAGTTCACTGAATTATAACTGGTCCAGGTTTTAGTACTGTTAGGAGGTCGAAAGGAAAAACGAAAGGTTGATTTCTGAAAATAGGCATGAGGTTGTGATTCACTTTGGGCAATGCTCTTGAGCAAAGAGTCCTCTCCGAGAAGAATGTCACAAACTAGGCTAGTCCCTGCATTTTCAGACAGCTTACCTAGTACAGTTGTTTCCTCACCCTTAGGATACCTCTTGGGGGAAATTCCTGCATGGTCTAATGTATTACAGTAACAACTAAGGTCGTTGCACTAGACAAGGTATCGGTTCTGTTAGATTTAGACTCTGCCCCTGGAATTTCTCTTAGGCAACCCTAATTGAACCCTTTTCAAGATTCCTTCCCAATCCAGGAACAACTTTCTTAGTCCTGATATCTATAATTTGACTTCCTCTAGAAGGTTCTACTTTCCTCTAGCTTCCTTACCCATACTCCTCCTCCCTAGCCCTAGGTTTTGGGAGCCAAAGTTGATTTGCCTCCTAAATTCTGCCACGTCAGTGATTCTCTCTTTCTACCATGTCAGTAACTCTTGAGAGAATCATTTTTGTCAAGGGACCCTCAAGACCCAAACCTCAGGATACATCCATAGTCTGCAGTCTTCACTACCTAAAACAGTTTCCCCAACTCCAACAATCACCTGAATTGGAGCACCTTTGGGATGTTCTTGTGCAGTGACTATCTAAAACCTGTCTTTTTGGTGGGGAGTCGGGGGAAGGCACCTGGGTGGCTCAGTAGGTTAAGCATCTGCCTTTGCCTCAGGTCATGATCCAAGAGTCCTGGGATCAAGCCCTGCATTGGGTTCCCTGCTCAGCAGGAAGCCTCCTCCCTTTCCCTCTGCCCCTCCCCCCAACTCAGGCATGTGCACTCGCTCTCTCACTCTCTCAAATAAAATCTTTTTTTTTTAAATATTTTATTTATTTATTTGACAGGCAGAGATCACAAGTAGGCAGGGAGGCAGGCAGAGAGAGAGGGGGAAGCAGGCTCCCCGCCGAGCAGGGACCCCCAATGGGGGGCTCGATCCCAGGACCCTGAGATCACGACCTGAGCTGAAGGCAGAGGCTTAACCCACTGAGCCACCCAGGCGTCCCTCAAATAAAATCTTAAAAAAAGATTTTAGTCATTTATTTTTAAAGATTTTATTTATTTATTTAGAAGGGAGAGAATGAGAGAGAGGGCATGAAAGCGGGGAGGGCCAGAGGGAGAAGCAGACTCCCCACTGAACAGGGAGCCTGATGCAGGACCGGATCCCAAGACTCCAGGACCATGACCTGAACCAAAGGCAGTTGCTTAACCAACTGAGTCACCCAGGTGTCCCAAGATTTTAAGTAATCTACATCCATCGTGGGTCTTGAACCCACAACTCTGAGATCAAGAGTCACATGCTCCACCAACTAAGCTAACCAGGTGCCCCTAAAGCTTATCTTTCATATCCAACTGATTCTCTACCTATGGGCATGGCCCAGGCTAAGACATCCCTGTTTCCTGGATAGATAATTTCAGTCCAGTATGATTCCTACTGCCTCTTCACAACTACCTGAAATTTCTGTTAGGTTTTATGAGCCTCTCAGCCTTTAGGAGACTACAGCCTACTTGGAAATTGCCTCTGGGTTCTCCTCTTGCATCTATGGTTTCCAGTTCTGTACTTTTACTGATAGTTATGGCTAGCAATATGGTATATAGGAATTTGCTTTTCTAGTTTGAGAACAAGAATGAACAATAGTATTGTATCACATCTAAGGGTAAATGTGAGCTGGGTAATGACCCAGAAGGAAAGACAAGTTCCTCAATGGACTCTGTAGGAGCTTCTAAAGAAAGCATATACAGAGAGGGTTTAGTTGCATCCTGAAGTATACGTTTGTTTGTTTTTTAAAAACTACTCTGCTGTTTCCTCTAAAGAAATCTATGTATTACAGAGCAAACTGGAAGCCCAGAGCCCTGATTTTCCCGAGACTTTGGCCCACATTTTTGTTTTAACTTTTTATGAAATATAAATGCATACAGGAAAGTGCACAGATGACTGTACAATTTGATAAAGTTAAACTGAACACACCCATTAAATCAGCTACCAGATCAAGGAAAAAAAAAAAAAACAACAAAACTACAGTGCCTCACCCAACCAGGGTAATCACCATATGCTCTCCAACACCATAGCTCAGTGTTACCTGTTTTTGAACTGCTCTGTGACTGGCCTATTCTTTTCTTTTCTTTCTTTTTTCTTTTCTCTCTTTCAAAGAGATAGTGCAGGCACCAGTGCACACATGGAGAACGGGAGGGGCATAGGGAGAAAGAAAGGGGAAAGAAAATCTAAACCAGGCTCCAGGCCTAGCATGGAGCCTGATACGGGGCTCAACCTCAGGACCCTGAGATCACGACCTGAGCCAAAATCAAGAGTCAGACACTTAAAAGTGACTGAGCCACCCTGGCACATCTAGCATTTTCTCATTCAGTGTTATGTTGTGAGATTCACCCATGATGTTGTGTGAAGTTGTAGCTGGGTCCTTCTCACGGCTGTGCAGAAACTGTGCCATAGCTGATCCATTCTAATGATGGGCGTTTGGGGGGTTTCCAGTTTGGAGTTATTATAAATAGTGCCTCTGAACATTCTTGTCCATGAATTTGATGAACATACATACGCATTTATGCCTTTCAAACATTAGGACAGTTCGCATGAAAAATTCAAGAGACAGTTTTTCTTAAAAAAACAAAAACAACCAGGGCGCCTGGGTGGCTCAGGTGTTAAGCATCTGCCTTGGGCTCAGGTCATGATTCCAGGATCCTGGGATCAAACCCCTGCATCAGGCTCCCTGCTCAGCAGGAAGCCTGCTTCTCCCCCTCCCACTCTTCCTGCTTGTGTTCCCTCTTTCACTCTATCTCTGTCAGAAAAATAAATAAAATCTTTAAAAAAAACAACAACCTAGAAGATCTGACAATACTGGGTCCACATTTCCTCATAGCAAGCGTTGTCTGGAACTCAGTCCTGTCTCTGGTGGAGCACGGTGTCTTC